CTCTCTTCTGTCACTGCGAATTTACATATAAATAAACGGACACATTTTATGATGTAGGCCGAAAATGAGCTTCCCCTCCTTGTAAGACCGGCAGCCGCCACTGCCCTGCAGCTGCAACTTCCTCCACACTGGGGTCAAGTCTCCTGTCCTTTACAGCCGAGGAGGTGATGGCGGAGTTCCAGAGGGTATATCCTGGAAAGGCAACAGGCCCAGATGGTGTGTGTCCAAGGCTGTTAAAGGACTGTGCAGCCCAGCTGGCTGAGCCTCTCCAGAGGATCTTTAACTTAAGCCTTCAAACACGGAGGGTCCCGGTCCTGTGGAAAACATCATGTCTTGTTCCGGTTCCTAAAGTAGGACGACCGGCTGAGTTAAATCAATACAGACTGGGGGCCCTCACATCACACATCATGAAGACCCTGGAGCAGCTGCTTCTCCACCTTCTGAGGCCACAGGTTGAACATGCACTAGACCCCCTACAGTTTGCCTACAAAGAACATATTGGAGTGGATGATGCCATCCTTTGCATGCTCCACTGGGCCCATTCTTACTTGGATGAGCCAGGTAGTTACATAAGGATTGTGTTCTTTGATTTCTCAAGTGCATTAACATCATCCAACCCCCATTTTTAAAGACAAACTGGAAGGTATGGTAGGGGTCCCTGCTTCACGTCCTGGATTGTGGATTACCTGAAAAAGACGACCACGGTACGTCAGGCTGGGTAACTATGTCTCAGGGACAGTGATGAGCAGCACTGGGGCTCCACAGGGGACTGTTCTGGCTCTTTTCCTGTTCACCCTGTATACAGCGGACTTAAAACTCTGAGTCTTGCCACATCCAGAAATACTAGGATGACACAGCTATTGTGGCGTGTATCAGGAGTAGGCAGGAAGAGTACAGGGATCTGACGATGGCCTTCAGTGAATGGAGTGACAAGAACTGCCTCCTTCTGAACACCTCCAAAACCAAGGAGATGGACTTTCGGAGGTCTAGGCCCACCCTTCAGCCAGTCAACATTCGAGGGAAGGACATTGAGATGGTGCACACTTATAAATACCTAGGTGTGCACCTGTAAACAGTAAACTGGACTGATCCCTGAACATGGATGTCATATACCTGAAGGAGGCTCACGTTTACTACACGTTTTATCAGTCAGTGGTGGCCAGTGTACTCTTTTATGCTGCAGTCTGCTGGGGCGGCAGTAGTCTGACATGAACACAGGCTGGAAAAGCTGGTAAAAAGGCTGGGTCTGTGCTTGGCAGGAGTCTGGACTCACTCAGGACTATTGTGGAGAGACGCATGCATTAGAGGCCATCTTAGACAATACCAACCATCCTCTCCACAAAATTCTGGCAGGACAGAGAAACAGCTACAGGTGCAGCAAATGTCTCATCTCACTGCGCTGCAGAACAGAGAGGTTCAGGAGATCCTTTGTTCCCACTGCCATCAGGCTATACAACACCTCAGCCAAAGGAAGTGGACTAATCTAATTATTATTGTTTATTTATTATTAACTGTTTTTATAATAATAATTATTATTATTATCAACAATGAGCTAATTGACACATGAATTTCCCCTAGGGGATAAAGTATAAAGTATCTATCTATCTATCTAATGTAAACTTGTATATGGTCCGAACATGTTTAAGAACATGTGTCTGGGGGAGTAAACAGTGTGAATAGATTTTGCAAAACAGTCATGTTTGTCACATAGTCACATATTGAGGGTAACACTCATTTTTAAATTAAGAAACTGAACAGCTCTTCAGTTTTCCGCAGTGAGTTGTGTGAACATCCTGCTGCTGTGACACAGGTGAACTCATGCTAGTTGTTTGATAGTCACTGGCAGCTCACGTTGACTGTGAAGTCAGGCTTCGTCAGCTGAAGTCAAACTCGAAGGCACCCATCACTTTTATACAACAGTTCTACAGGCACCATATTAGTTAAATAAGGAACAACATATTATGATTTCTTTGATTATTTTATCTTTATTTGGCAATGCCAACAAAAATAGTTCCGCAACTGGACTGGTACTGGACTGTTGCTAGGCAAAAAAACATTTTCCTAGCTAGCTTGCTACTTTGTCTACACATTACCTCAGGTGTGCGCTGAAGTATCCAGGTGTCTTCTCGTCTTCTGACAACCATACATCATTTAACACCTGTAAAGCGGAGTGATACCTGTAGTTAAAAGTCCCAGTGCTGTTGTGCTCTATGTCAGCACTCATGGAATGCCTCTCATCCAATCAAATTACTTGGTCGAAATTAACTGTTGTATAAAAAATGGTCACACTGACCTTGACCTTTGAAGGTGTTACTTAGATATCATGTCCACGAGAATGAGACGGACAGACAACCTGAAAACAATACGTCTCTGGCTTTGACTGTAACCAGCACAGAGGAGTACAAACCACAGTTACATTAATGTACAAGTACTGACATGTCAAAGACACACACACACACACACACACACACACACACACACACACACACACACACACACACACACACACACACACACACACACACACACACACACACACACACACACACACACACACACACACAGAGTTTAATTACAAAATTATTCAGCAGACTTCACCCAGAAAAGTAAAGCTCCTTGTTTCTGAAAATATTTTATTTCTAACAGATCCCTCACAAAGTGTCTGAACTGTGGTGAAACTGAGGAGTTACAGCAGCTTTCAGCCAAACAGGGCTAGTGTTTCTGATTAAAAGGTCAGGACCCCTTTGGTGGGTCACAAGTTGAATCTGATGGATCAAAGGAAAAAACTAAAACCCGCTGCACAAACTTGTATCTCTTTTAGTGAAACATTGGATTGTTTCACCTCTTTGATCCTCACACATTACTCAAATGACATAATGTGAGATGTTTGGAGGTGGAAATCACAACTCAGGCATCTAAAATCTAATGTGTAAGAGCTGCAAGTAAGCTGCAAGTAAGCCTAAACACTTGGGAACACAGCTGGATGCTCGTCTGTTAGCTTCCACTTGTGTTCTCAATGGGGATAGCTAACGATTGCTAACAGCTACCTGGATGGTGTGTTTCTGTCTTAGACAAGTTTGAACATATAAAACGCTCACAGTGCTGCGATTACAATGTTATTCACCCCTACTGTAAATCAAAGTGCATTGTAATGAATTAATCAATGTACCACAGCTCAGTTATCATGATCAAAGGAAAACATTACAAATGAAATGTGTGATCCCAAAGTCAGAAAGGCTTTAAGTACCAGCCATCATTTCACACAAAAGAAAATCAAAAGTAGTCACAGCAAAAATCAAACTTATTAATCTCACAGGAACAAAAAGAAACAGGGAAAACACATGTCTTCTGCATCATCTCTACACAACTTCAACCAAAACTAATCAATAAATGAAGATCATAATTTTCAGCATCAACAGATTAGTGCAATCAGTTATAATGAGACACAAAGGCTACTTCAAACCCAAGAGATTCACAGCTGAATGTTCTGTTCAGCGACATACAGAGACAAGTCTGCTGGTAAAGATGGAGGAATCCTGTTCCCTGTCTTTAATAAACACATGGGGTCCCTCAGGGAAGTGTCCTGGGGCCTCTGTTGTTTCTATTAAACCTGATACACACTGAGAGTTACAGTCCAACCTTTAGCTAAGTCCTTTTGTTCTTTGTGATTCCCAGAGTCACATGAGAAGGCAGAGGTCCAGTACAGTGATAGGTCCATGTAAATTTCAGGGATTAACACATTTTCTTCAACTTTACAAGTTGCTCCACACACCCACATAAAATCTGTTTAAATGTCTCACAACTGTGTCCCAGTCCTTTTTATAACTTGTGCCTGATTACAGTCACTTCCAGGAAACTTCCAAGGAAATCTCAGATAAATGACCTATAAAAATAGCATTATTCTTTGTATGTTTTATATTTTATATCAATCCTTGATGTAATTATTTACTTCTATTGCCCTAAAAGTCACAAATGTGACAAATGTAACTAAACCACTGGAATCAGCCTAAAAAATACTATGTTTTAAATCACAGAATATAAAAATTACACAAGATCCCTCAAACCATCAGATCCTCAGAAGAAAATATTAAGGACAAGGCCTCAGATGAATCTACAGCCCTGTGTTTGTGGTTAGCTTAACACTGAGACTGGGAGCTCAGAGATAACGTCAATAATTTGAAGAGTTGAGGCCACGTTGTTTTTATTCAAATAAAAACAGACTGACCAGAAGTAGAAAGAGTAGGAAAAGTTATTTATGTTGTTTAGTTAAAACAGTGATTTTCAGCTCAGCTCTGTCTTAGTGCAGATTAGTTTTTCAGAGGATCTGAAGGGCAACAGAAGCATCAGATCTACCTAATATTAAAGGGATAGCTGGGGTTATTTGGGGGGGTTGTGTTAGGTAGTCATGCAAAGTCAGTGTGTTACCTGCAGTAGATTCAGATCAGCGCGCTGCCAGTTAGGAGAGCAGCATGAAGCAGTAGCAGAGTGATGTGCTGCTGGGGGCAGGGCTAGCAGAAAAAAAGTGTTAGACACTTTTAAAAGACGCCCACCAAAACAATCCAATATCCGTTTAAATGTACGCTTCATGTAAAATATTTTCAGCACTTTATCTTCACGTGAAAACAAAGTGAAGTTTAGCTCTTTCTGATTCCCTCAGCTGTGGCGTAACGCAGTGAGCGCTATAGGTGTTTGTCCGTAGGAATACGGTAGTTCAGTGGTTGAGAAAAATGCAGTGCCAAAGGAAAGTGCTGCTTTCATGTGAAGATGAAGCGCTAAAAATATTCTACATGTGTTCATTTAAACGGATATTGGATTGTTTTGGTGGGCGTCTTTTAAAAGTGTCTAACACACGTTTTTTCAGCTGGCCCCGCCCCAAGCAGCACATCACTCTGCTAGTGTTTCCTGCTGTCTCTCCTAACTGGCAGCATGCTGGTCTGAATCTACAGCAGGTAACACACTGACTTTGCATGACTACCCCCCCCCCCCCCAAATTACCCCAACTAATCCCGTTAACTGTGAACATGTTCACTTGTCTGCTGCAGGATGCTCACCTGCACGTCAGAGGGTAAAGGTGTCATTGACCAGTCACCTGAGGCAGGGGGCGGGCCCAGTGTCAGGTCATGATCCTGCTGATAATCTGATCTGACGGCAGTTTAATCAACATGTTGTTGTTCTGCTCTGATTGGCTGCTGGAGTGACACTGCTTAGTTTGGATTTTACTACACAGAAGTCCATGAGTGAGTTAGCACAGAAAGATAAGGCTGATGTCTCAAAGTAGAAGAACTTTCGGCTTTGGTCTGAGGGAGGAAGCGGTCTCAGGTCTCTGTCAGTCCTGATACCAAACAGGACCAACAGTACTGTTATGAACTGTCCTAAGGATGCAGATAAATCAGGTCCTGAGGCTTCATGAAAGCGTGGAAAACCTCTTGTGAACAGTCTGCAGCTGAGTCCAGCCATGTTTATATTTATTCTTAGTCTTTCCTGTCTGTGTATCACCGCTACGAGCTGTTGATTTTATATAGTTCTATATTTGAGTGCCCAGTACCCTGCACACCTTTTGCTGTTTTACTTCACTTAGTTATGTTTTACAGAGTAAACTCACTGCAGACTGTAAACAAACCGAAGGCTGCGATAAGAACACTGTATGTGCATGTGTTCATTTAGAGGTCATGTGATCACTCGCTGACACTGTGCAGGTTTGGATGGACCCTCCTCACCTGTCCAGATAAAGCCACATTTCTCTTTGGTAGATTTCCACCTTCAGGTGTCACTGCTGGATCATGGTGTTGGTTAAGACCTTCTTCACACTGAGGAGGACTGACGGTTGTCAGGGCAGAGTGGGTGGGGGGCAGAGATGAGCTGACGAAGGCACAGACAATTGTTGGTTTATAGATCAGATGTGATCCACCTCCTGTGGAGCTGCAGAGTCAGTCTGAGTGTTCAGCTTTGAAGATCACATAAGGTCACTTCTTATTCTTCAGCACAGTCCAACGTGGCGTCTTATTTACACTAGAAAAATAAAGCTACCAAAATAAAAGCATTCTGTTTCTGTAGAGGGTCCCTTCAGGAAGATGTGTTTGCAGTTTATTGCTCTGAAGACAGTTGGTCCTACAGAGAGAAGGAGGAAACAATCAGTCAGACGGAGCAGATTCTGGCATTAAACACTTTTAACACAAACACAATTTAAAATCGAGCTCTGTGAGTTTGGACAAGATTATTTAAGAGGTTACTGAGGAGTAAATTTAAACTGGTTTGAAGCAGGAGTTTGGAAGCAGAGTTAATTTTAATCAACGAAAACTAAAACAAAATTTGAAAAAATAAAAATAAAAGATTTTTGCAACAAATATCAAACTGAAACAACCAAAGGGCAGCCTTGTGTTCACTTTTCTACAACCAATTTTTTTTTTTTTTTAAACTGTTTCACAATGTTCAATAAGAAATAAAAACAGAGAAGGTTGTGATTGGTTAAACTGGGATTGGAGGCAGAGCAAAAACGCCTGTTGACAACATCTGTCCCAATGGTCAGACTGGGATCAGACTGATTGCGTCTGGTTTACCTGGGTCCAGGTCAGGGTTGGTTCAGGACCTGAAGACGTGCACGGCTCTGACGACGTACTGGCGGCATATGGGACACTCGCTCATCCTCTTGCCGCACTTGGTGCAGGTGATCATGTGACCACACTCCAGCAGGACGCAGTCGATGGGAGAGTCCATGCAGATCTTACAGAGGTTCTCCTCCAGACCTGCAGCGCTGCAGCCAGACTCTAGAGGGAGACAGAGGGAGATGCACGCAGCGCTGTGAGGGACAATCTCATCTCCACAACTCACACATGATCAATAAAGATGCTCACAGGAATAAATGAGTAGAAATAAACATGACAGAAAGATGTACAGAGCACTGGGAGGGACAATATTATGGTCATAAACATACGAGTTCCCGCTTTCTTGATTAATTGATTAATCATTTGGTCAATAAAATATCAGATAATATGAAAACACATCAACTGAGCTTCTCCACGATGATGTCTTCAAACAGAAAACACAGACTTTCTCTTTACAATGATGGAAACTTAAAAACCAGCAAATCCTCACATCTGAGAAGCTTAAGAAACAGTTTTCAATGATTAATTGATTTTGAAACCCTAATTTTCTTTCAATCAATCCATTGATTTATCGACTAACTGTTTCAGCTTTATAAAACATCATCAATATTTAAATAGACAATATAAATTAACCAATAAATTCTGAAATAAACTGATTGAAACAGAACTGACTACTCTGAACTGGTTTTTATCACAGCTTACTGCTCTGATGAACATGATAACAGCCAGTCACATGTACTATTGACTCTGGAGAGAAAACAGAAACTCACCTTCAGCGCTCACGGTGTTGGCAGCTGAAAGACACAAAACAAAGCATTTCGATTTTAGTTTTTGAACTGATAAATCTGAGTCCTCTACAGATGAACTGTAAAGTCTCTGATGATGATTTTATTTATTCTGGATCAGACACTGAAGATCAGACTTAAACCCGTCCTGTCCTCTGGAGGAGTCTGTCTCTATCTCGTCTCAGTTGTGGTTCAGATGTTCCAGCGGTCTGCTCTTAGACCAGTTTACTGTTTAAGGTTTTGCAGAAAGATTCAGAGAACACACAGAGCCCTGACACTCAGTGTTCAGTCGTTGCCCTTGGTGACCAGAACATGTGTTTAAAAAACCAGGGGCCAGTTGCACAAAGTATGACACTTAAGGTTTAATTTCTCCTCAGCCGAGGGAGTTACTTAAGAGTGTTGCACAGAATCTCTTAAAAGGTTTCCTTAGTAAGGGAAAAAAAGTTCAGTAATTTACAGCTGTAAAATTCTACTGTTTCCATGGAGACTACTTGCTGGCGTTAGTGTTTCTGATACCTGTTAAAACTCTTGGGAAGCTGATGACATTAAAGGAGTGCGTAATGTAGAATCAGTTCCACATTGTTAATGGTCCATTGGATTCTCCCACTCTTCTTGGGATGTTTTAATTTTCTTCATTTATCACATTAAACTTATACATGTTGCAGTTAAGACAATCAGAGGTACCTTTAGTTTTTTCCTTACTAAGACTAAGGTCTTTGTGCAACAGTTTAACTGATTCTTTAAGATAAGGAGAAAACCTTAAATACTTAAATGAAGATTTTAAAGACTTTAACTTTAACTTTAAGGAGAAGACTTAAGGGCGTTTGTCCAACAGTTTTTATTTTAAGGAAACCTTAACTCAGACATTAAGGAAAATCTTAACTTAAAGTGTTTTGTGCAACTGGCCCCAGACTTTCAGATGTTTGGGGTTTATGTCCATCTTTGAACTGTCTCTGCTCTGTTCAAGGGGAGGGGCTAAGACACACAGTAAAACAGGAAGCAGAGGAGAGAAATGACGCAGTAAACGACAGCAAAACGCAGGTGAGACTCTCACACTGAGATGAAATTAAACCAGTGCACATTAATTTGACATTAATTAGTTTTTTAAATTTTTTTACTTTTTGTTCCTTTGGGGCTGGCTGCCCGCCGAAGCAGTGGTAGGGGTAACCCTGTGGTTACAGATACTTCACTGGTTTTAATGGACCTGTGTTTTGTGAAGGAAACTGAGGCTGTTTCACAGACATACAGGCAGAGACAGTAACAACCTCTTCATGTTCATTATCATTAAATACAGACGTTCAGAGTCACCTGTGGCTGCTCCAACAGGAAGTAGACTCAGAGAGAAAAGACACAGATCCAACAGTCAGAAACACATGCAGAGAACAGGGGGGTTAATTCATCGTCATGACGACACATTTATTTAGTTTGATGTAAACATACAAATTTGAAAAACCTACGAAACGCCTTGGAATCTTCTACAGTCTCAGTTTGGTAAAACACACGCACGCACACACACACACACAAAGTAGGACCAGTGGACTCACCCAGTAAGTTCTGCTGATCCTGGTACAGCCGGCTCACTCTCTCCATCAGCTCCCACTTCTCACAGCATCCTTTGTAGTCCACAAAGTTCCTGGAGAGGATTTCCTTCAGCTGTCGGACACTCAGCGCCTCGATGTCGTCCAGACTGCTCAGGTCCGACAGAGAGGCTCTGCGACCTAAGACCTGAGGCTCCTCGGGGTCCCAGGTCTGAACCAGAACGACAACAGACACTGAGTCAGTCACAAGACCCAGACTGAAAACCAAGACCCAGACTCAAACCCAAGACCAAGACTCAAACCTGGGTCCTGACTGACTGAAACCTAAGACCCTGATTCAAACCCAAGACCCAGACCTTATGACTTTTCCATGACCACTTTCAAGGACTTTCCATACTTGCAGAGGTATAATCAAAGTATCAAGTCCTTCTCAGGTATTACCTGGTCTTCTTCCTGAACCTCGGGCTCAGCAGGGGCGGTCTCTGTGGGAGGGTTCGGGGCTTCAGGCTGTGCAGCAGGAGGGTCAGGGGTCAGGATCGGGGTGGGTGTGGGGGGATCAGGGGTCAAGGTGGAGATGGGGGGGTCCGAGCTCACAGAGGGGGGGTCAGGAGTCTCGGGGGCTGAGCCACTGGATGGTGAAGACTGCTGCCCCAGGACCAGTTCCACCAGCTCCTCCTGTAAAACAGGAAACACTGGTTTACCAGAGGGAGGGGGGAGGGAGGGACTCACAGGTGTGTTTGTGGCTAATTGATACTGAATGACCTCACCTTCTCTCTGCACAGGTGGGTGGAGACCTCATGCAGGTGCAGGTAGTCTCTGAGCTCCTTCACTTTGAGCTTCATAAGCTCAGCCCGCTCCAGCAGGTTCCCGTAGAAACGCTGACAAGTGTGACAGAGGCGGGGGCGGGGCTCCATTTGGGCAGAGCAACGACTGCAGTAGTTCTTCTTACAGTCCATACACACATGCTGAGAGACAGACAGGTGGAGAGACAGGTATATATATATATATATATATATATATAGAGAGAGAGAGAGAGAGAGAGAGAGAGAGACGGTCAATGAGGTAGTGAGATGGAGAGAGAGTCAATGATTAAAGTAGATAGACAGTGAGTGAGTCAGTCAGTGAGTCATAGTAGGACAGGTAGACATATATAGAGAGAGAGACATAAAGAGACAGGTTGAGAGTAAGACATCTTAGAGAGACAGAGACAGCTGGAGGGTGAGACAGGCCACATGTCCCTCTACTATAAAAACAGCTAGACTGCTGTGGGTCAGAGCAGCTGGACTGAGCTGCTACAATGTTTCAGAGGCTACTTCTTGTGTGTTTCAGTCAGATTCAGAGACAGGTGAGATGAGTCATGTAAAGATCTGGTGTGTTTGAAAACCTGCAGGAGGCTCTAACACACCTGGTTCTGAATCTCTACAGCAGTTAGAGACAACAGCTGCAGTCACGAAGAAACAAACAAGGGTGGATCATTGATCTGTGATGTCACAGTGGGACAGTCCACTGACAGTGAGAGTTCTTCAGTACACCGTTGCATCGTTACTCTGAGTATGTAGCTCATATCGATGAATCCCAGAGCGGCCTCAAAGTGACACTGCACCAGAAACAGATGTGGTCCTGAGACGTCTGTTCTCAGCACAAAGTCTGAGACACATTTTCACAGACAGCTTACTTTACCACGTTAACTACCATTAAATAGGAGGCTGATCCTCATCTCATCAAACACATGTAAACAGACAAACATGAACATATTTCAATAAATGATAACATAATTTCTCTCTCTCTCACTCTGACGTCTATTATCTTGAGTTTAATCTCAGCCCAAGAGGAGGAGACACAACAGCAGAGCTGAGCTGTCACACTGAAATCCACATCACTATCTATTTTATCTGGTTATACAGGGTTGTTGTAATAAACTGTAGCTTTAGCCCACACCTTTTCAGCCAGTATTGTCATGTTTTATTTCTATGTGTATTTACTATGTATAAATATTAATGAGGACCGAAATAAATTGAACCATGAACTATGATAACTCAGGCAAGACTCAGGACTGTCCCACTGTAACATCAACAACTGTTACACAACCACTTTAAGACCTGTGTGACGACTTTCAGTCAGTGCGATCGTTTAGGAATTACCTGTGACTTGTGATGGTCCAGTATGAGGGCCGGAAATTCCCGATCAATGAAAACACAAATAGACAGACCAGTTTACACTCTGATGATGTGGCGTCATTTACAGTCTGTTGATCTCTGGACACTCATCTGAGCAGCAGCTTCTCTATCAGTTTGTAGAATGATAACAGACTGAGCTTCAACAGGATCAATTTAAAGTGATTTTCATTTAATGCACTCAGTGAAAATCTCCTCAACCTACTGTCTGTTCTGTGTGACCTGAGAAAAAAATTAAACACTATAATTACCACCTCCTCCACTCAGACAAGCTTCAGGTTACATTCCTGTTTATCTAGAGTCATATAAAATATGAACCATTTGTGTGAAATTTTGTCACAGTTGCTGTGTGAAGTCTGGAGTTATGGTTATAAAGTGTTTTGTGACATCACACTGACCTTGACTTTTTACCACCAAAATCTAATCAGTTTGTCCTTGAGTCCATGTGAATGTTTGTGCCAAATGTGAAGGGATTCCCTTAAGGTGTTCTGGAAATATTGCATTCACAAGTCCAAAATCATCGTTTGTAAGGTCACCGTGCCCTTGACTTTGGCCACCAAAATCTATCAAATCTTGAGTCCAAGTGAATGTTTGTATCAAATTTGAAGACGTTCCGTCAAGGCGTTACTGAGATATTGAGTCCATGAGAATGAGATAGACAGACGGTTAACCTGAAAACAATATGTACTGTCAAAATATATAAAATTCGGAGGCTCTGTAAATATGAAATAAACAAAGTGGCTCGGACAAAGTACCACAACAATATTCAAGCCAATAAGCAACAGGGGGCACTGCTGCACAGGACAAGGGAAAGAAGAAGAGGGGAGGTGGAGGACAGGGGGCAGTGGGAGACTGTAAATCTAGCACATCCTAACAGACAGTGCCAACTTAAGAGGGAGAAGGAGAAGTCTACTCTCCATCACTGTCACTGTGGAGCTCTGAATGGGGTTGACTGGACTCACATCAGAGACCAGCAGCGACATCAAGGTGACTGCATGGAGGAAATGTCTACTGACGGCAGCATGACGGCGGCACACTTCATCAGGAACATCTGCTTAATCATGCAAATATCCAGTCAGCCAATCATGTAGCAGTAGTAGAGCCAGGTGAGGAGCTCCAGTTCATGTTCACATCAAACACCCACTGACAGAAAGGCTTCGGTCACTCAGATAACCACTCTTTACAACTGTGCAGAGCAGAAAAGCTTCAGAGTGAACAACACATCCAACCTACAAAAGCAGAGACCATGTCAGCTTCCACTTCCTGTCACCAAGAACAGAAACCTGAGGGTGCAGTGGACACATACTCACCAACAATGGACAGCTGAAGACCTGGTCTGATAGATCTTGATTTGTGCCGAGGCAACAGATGGTAGGGTCAGAGTCTGAATCCACAGACCCAACCTGCCTTGTGTCAACAAGCAAGGCTGGTGGGTGTGTGACGGTGTGGGGGATGTTTTCTTCTTAATATCAATCTATCATGGTCTGAATGTCTCAGTGTATCTGAGTATTGTTGCTGACCATGTTCATCCCTTCACGGCCCCAGTTCACCATCTTCTAATGGCTCCTTCCAGCAGGATCATGCTCCATGTCACAAACTGGTCTCATCAATATGACAGTGAGTTCAGTGAACTTCAGTGGGTCCTCACTGTTCACACCTGGTGACGATCCTCCTACCGAGACCTCACTGACCAATCAGTATTGGTCAGTGTGTGTCATGTGACACCCCAAGGTGTCACCAGACAAAAACAGATGTCCTTCTCTGTCCTTTCTCTTTTCTTTTTGGCTTGCTCAGGAGCAGCAGCTCCTCGCCCCTCTCGGCTCTTCAAGGAGCAACAAGGCTCCAAGCCCAGGTCAGCCCTGCTACCTGAGACAACAGCTCTCTTGCCAGCCTGCTCACAGCAGACTGCATTTGTTCTGAGGACTAGGTAACATTAACTGACTGGGCCTATCCTCACATAGCACAGCACAGCTAAACAGCAGAAGTTTAAACCTTTGTACATGTTGGTTAATGTTTTGCTGTTATGTTCGCTTAGGTTATGGTTAGTCACACAGTTAATTGAGTACTTGTATGTTCACATACATACCTGTAGTACATCTCAGTTCAAGAACCTGCATGCAGCTAACCTTCTCCCTATAACCTGGTACCTTTAGATTACATGAGCCAGGCTAACAAAGAAACTCACACCTTCCCTCTCCCATACACCAGGTGGTCTCAGCAGCCATTTTGAGTTGTTTCTTTGTTTATCACCATCTCGTGTAGTTTTCCTTGTTCAGGCCATGTGGTCACTGCGACCATTTTCAACTGGCCATCTTGCCTTTGTCTGTGCCTGAGAGAGATGTATTAATTCTAAACCCACAGCACAATGACTCCAAACAATAGGATCTGAACTTTGAACCTCAGCAGACCAGTCGATGTGTTTTAGAGGTGGAGATCAGGTAGTGGGAGTTACCTTCTTGGCAGGTGTGTCAAAACGCCCCCCACAGGCCTTACAGGTGTGCTCAGGTAGAGGAGAAGATGGCTGACTGGTGAACGCTGAGTTACTGTAGGACTGATTCCGACGCTCACCTTCACCAGTGTGTTCAACATCAGCTGAGTCCATACACAACCAGTTACAGCAGGACGCCCACATACCTGACAAACACACAGAAATACTCCAAATACTTTGTGCACAACCAGCTCTGACACTTTATGACTCACTGAATCTCTGAATAAACGACTTTCCTTAAATCAAGGATTTTCTCAATGTAGTTTTGTTACTTTCACTGACATAAAGAATTTTCCACCACTTTCTTCTGTGAACTGATAACTGTAGACCAAACCACATAGTAAAATCTAACATTTTTATCTTCCTTTCTCCTTGTCACATATTTATTACCTAAATCCATTGTAAAATAGACTTTTACATATTACTGAGGACTCCTGCTAAACGTGGCATTATATACACATCAGTCACAAAGCAGAACTTTCATAAATAATCAGTCATTATAATGCATAAACTTGGGATCTAAAGACAAACTTGCGCTATTTGAGAACAGCATGATAAAAACATTTTGCTAAATTCAAGTTCACATGTAATTAAAATGAATATTGTCTTGAATTCAATACTAGGTGAATGGACAGACGTGTATTTATAACTCTTGGAATATCTGAAGTCAAGTTTTGACTCGTTAAATTTAACAATATGATCATGAAGGTTCTTGTCCAATAATAGAAAACAGTTCAGCATTATATCTTCAGATATTTCACTGTATTTTATTAGTAAAACTTGTTTACTGTTGAATTTATTCATGTCAAAAACTGAATTTAATTAAATATCTTATACTATGATTGTTACTGTCACTAAAATCTGTATATGATCACTTTATTTTTGTACACCTCTAAACCTCTAATTAAACATATTTTTACACTATAACATTGTTACCACCACCAAAAAAAAACTACATACTTTATCCTCCAATTTTGTACACAGCTGACTGTAAACCAAACTCCACAGTACAAACTGACCTTTTCTGTTCCTTAATTGTCGTTTTACATTCATAATATCAATTACCTGGTAAAACCGACTTTTACAAATAATCATAATCTTATGATAAATTCGGCGCTGTGTTTCACTTAGTAGGACTTTTGTTTAATAAATCAGCAGGTATAGAAAGGCAGAATATTGTTGTTTATCATTAGAATGTTTTTTTATATGCAGTTATAGTAAGTACTATTTTGTTTTAAATGACAGTCGAGTAAACAAGTGTGTTGATGAACCGTAAATTAATATTAAGTGATGTTTTAGCAGCAGCAGCACCACCAGGCTCCGTTTAACTTAACAACCCGCAAATACGTATAATCCATAACTGCGCTAATCAAGTTTAAACGCAATTTAAATAAGCACTGTTTTGAGTTGACTGTTGAGCCGAATTAGTAAGAACGTCTACATAATACGTAAAGATTATTAAATTGTGTTTTAGGAGGAGTATTTGTTTACCGATGAGCAAAGCGAGGTTAAATTCAACGATATGTTAACGGAGTCTGGCGTGTGGAGTCTGGAAAGTGCCCTGAGCTGCTAGCAGGCTAAACAGGCTAGGCTAACAGTAGGCTAGTTAGTGAAGTGAATCAGGCTGAAGTTTAAAAAAACTAACAAAACTAACAAACACAAACCAACAACTCGACAACCACAGCCGAAGACTGACCGAGTTAACATAACCAAGTTATCAGGTTAACTAACAACTAACCAGCAGGATTATCAACATAGCGAAGCGTCTTACCTGTTAATGACAGGGGCTTCTACAGCTAGCAGTCAGCTAACTAACCACCGCGTCGCTGCTAGTTAACGAAAACTAACTAATGGTTTAAACGTAACGATGTTAGTTTATCGGCATGATGAGTTAGTAGTTTTATCTGGAACCAGAGATATAAAGTCAGAGTCAGACCGAAGCCTGAGATAACAACAGTGCTGAACCAGGAAGAGTTCAACTACACTACACACACGCGCGCATGCACGCGCGACACACACACACACGCACGCACGCACATACACACACACACACACACACACACACACACACACACACACACACACACGGCAACACAAGCAGAAACACACACAGTAACACAAACAAAGACACAGTAAAGTTGTTTCATATGAAATGGATATCATTTCCATTAAACTTTATTCCAGGTTCACAAAGTCAGTCTCAAGTTTATTTACTGGAACAGACTGTAAACTGAAGCACAGAGGTTTGATTGATTGATTATCCTTTGGGGTCTGCAAAATTGGTGCTTTGAGCAAAATTGGTACATGGCCATTGCAGCAAATAAGCATCTTTATTAGAACAAAAATGCTATTTTGGTAAAGATATACATCATCATAACATAGAGTAATGGGGAAAAAATTGAAAAAATGCAATGCTGACATCAATGACCTCTCAAGGTCACCAGAGGTCAGATATAAATTGCCTCCACATCTGAAATAAAACTTTGGGATATGTAGATTATATGATGAAACTTTCATGCTTTAGTCATAAAATGAACAATTACTAATTGATTAAGATAATTTTTTTATGCTGGTTAGGTATATTTTATGTATTAAAGTTCATGTGTTCATGTGTTCATTTTTAATTTGTAAACTAACTGCTGCTGATGTGGAAAAACCAGGACAGACTGATTTGTATTTAAATACAACACTTTCATATAATGTAAATCAATCTGTAATTTTATTTAAATAAAAACAAACAATACAGCTGCATAATTTAGTGTGATTAAATCATGTTCTTGACATTGTGGTTAAATCTGTCTTGTATAAGTGAAAATAAGTTTGAGACTTTTTTCTTCTCTATTAAAGTGCATTAGAAAGTCACTCACACTGGACTTACATGTTAAAGAAGCTATATGTAAGTTTTGCTATTGCTGCATAGCTAACGTTAGCATTAGCAGCTGTTTACTGACCAGCATCAACAGCTGTCTCCAGTGTTAGAAACAAACACCAATGTTAAACCTTTTTTTGCTTCTAGTTCTATCACCGTTTTCTTCTACTGAAGTAACCATGCTAACCAACTAGCCCTGTCTGTAACATCCAGTCTGTCCTGAAGAAGTAGCTGCTCAGAGGATGTATTATAACACTGACCCCAGACCCGCTCCCAGCAGAGAAAACTTCCATGTAGCTCCTTTAGAGATAATAAACTTCCTCCAAACACAGAGAGAGGGACAGAAGCAGAATAGAACGAGCTTTATTCTTTATTGTTCTTTCATTTGGAGGAAAAGATAAAAACCAAAACGAGAAATTGACCCCCCCTTCCCCCCACCCTGAAATTAAACACATTCTGGTGGATGTATGTAGATGATACAGTTTTATTGCCATAAACAGTGTTGGAAAAGAAAAAGTTAAAACAGCTGTTCTTTATTCTATAGTACAGTAAGAAAAAGTTCTTCCATTTAATGTCCTGGAAAACAAAGAAAACTTTATCAGCGACACAAATGTTCTCAAAGCGACGCAGACTGAAAACACTTAAGGTTTAAATCCTGCTCAGCTGATCCACTACAGACCCAGACCTGATCCACACTGACACACAGAGACCTGAGAACATTCAGCTGGACCAGGTTTGTGGTCCACAGTGAGTTCAGTTTTCCTACAGATTAAAGATGAAGGACTACAGTTAACTACAAACCAAAATTATGACTTCATTGTACAATAATTAATAATTTTGACTTTGCAGGCTCATTCAAAACTTTTCATCAATTTTACAAAATTTTCTTGGTGGCAGTCGACTTCCACATGATCCACACTGAAGTAACAAGAGCACAAAAACCTTTAAATTTCTTCTTTTCTGTTGGTGACACGTCGTGTGAGCGCCACCGTCTGGTCAGGAGAATGTCAGGAGGTGGTTTAAATGAGTCAGTGCTGTAAACAAAGACAGATGGAGGAGAAGCCAAGAGATTGAAACAGAAAGAGGTGAAGAAAATGGGGAGCAAAAAGCAAAGGGGAAAAAAAAAAATTAGGGAAGAAAAACATTTTTTTCATCCTGTCTCTTTTCCTCTTCCCCCGTTTGTTTTATTTCCCTTCTCTTGTATCCCCCTTTTTACATTCCTCTTCTTCAATCCTTCTTGCAACACTTTTTATATCAAAACGCATCTGTGCCACAAATGAATAAGAAACAAGTATTTTAATAACAGGAGCCCGAGAAAGAGCCACAAAAAATGGGAAGAATACAGGTGAGAAGACTGAAAACAGACACAAGGAAAGACGAGAAAAAACAGAAAATTAAAGATTAAAGGGAAGACACTTTCTTTTTCTTTCACTGTATGTTTCCCATTTCATCACCTCTTTCCTGTCCTTTCATGAGCCCTGTGTTTTTCTGTTGTTAAACAGAAAAATGCATGAAAATATAAAAAAGGAAAAGAATGAGGAGACAAAAGGTATTAAAAATGGAACAAAGAAAATTAATTCACGAGAAAGGGAAAAACAAAATAAGCTCTCCTTCTTTCCTTACAGAAAATGTGTCTTTTCTTTTGTTAAACAGTATAAGAAGAGCCTTTCGAGAAAGAAGACAAAAACAGGAAAAAATAAAAACATAAATCAAGGGAAAAAGAAAACAAAAAAAAGGGAAATGATGCTTCTCCCTGTCTCTTTTTCTGTTTCTTCAGTTCTCCATTGCATCCTTTCATCCCCTTTACATGTATTCCTTCCCGTTTTCAAATGAATCCACTACAGGTGAAGTTTTCAGTGTGGACCAATGGAAACTTTATGACCTGTGTTCAGTGTGGACGACGTCTCTTTCTTAAATCTGATTGAACAGGACAGGTTTGGCTCTGTAACAATGGAGACCACGCCGCTGTCTCAGATCAGTTAGAGACAACCAGAGGAGCCGTAATTGTAGGCCACACCCCCCCATTGCTGACTGTTTCCCCCCCCCCCCCGTGTAAAGTGTGCTGCGTTCAGGGTGTGTGGGTCAACCTCCATCATTGTAATTTATTTTTGCAGGCTTTAGCCTTCAGGAGCAGAACCAGGAGACAAACCACAAACTCCACACAGCATTATTTTTGGTAAATACCAGAAAGATTTTTTTTGTAATGAATTAATTTCCTACAGTCAGTTTTCTGCTAGCAAACCGTTTTTCCCTTTTCCCCTCAGCACCTGAACGCAGCAACATGGCCACAATTAATGGGATTCCAAACCAAAGTAAGTCCCTCAGACAATGAACGCAGAACCTGGTCTCCTGTTTCTCAGCACTCCATCTAAACAGGCTGTCTTACCCCAGCGCATCATGGGAACAGAACTCAGACCATCAGCACTCTAAAGCTTCAGGCGTCAGCGTCTTTTATTTCAAGAAAATGTTTCCGGGGGGGGGGGGCTGAGCTTGTTGAGAGCTGGCAGTCCGTCCTGACGCAGGTTAAGCCCCGCCCACCCAGGACGACAGGGTGATTAAACAAACACTGAGAAAAATATAAAAAATAATTTTCTGACTAAAGCTGGAAAACCTTATTGATGAGTCACCACGGCAACGAGCGACAGCAAAGAAGAAGAAAAAAAAGCTTAATCTCTGACTCAACCAATCAAGGTGAGGGGGTGGGGCTGCAGTGGAACGACTACAAAATACAAAAAGAAAAAAGAAAACAAACCACCAAAAAAATTACTTTACAGGTTTAACCTCTGGGCTTCTTACTGTTGGAGAGTAAATGGTGGGTGACCTTTGACCCAGCGAAGGAGGAGGATGGGGACTGGGCTACTGGGCATAGCGGGTATGACATCACAGTAAGCGGCAGTGAGGGGGCGGGACGAAGGGCGGGGCAGAGAAACCCAAAGTTTGGACATGCATTCACAAGCTGCTCGTTGTGTTTGTGTTTACAGATTTTTCTGATTATTCATCAGTGTCAGAGTGTGTTTCATCTTTATTCCCACTAAGAATAAATATTCTGCTCAAACTGAACTCAAAACAGGAAGAAGAAGAAGTAGTAGAAGAAGTAGAAGAAGAAGAGGAGGGCGGCGTCCGCTCGCTCACTGTCTGTCAGGAAGGAATGCTAACTGTGGCGTTTAAACTCATCCCGTTGGCGTTTCTTTCTTTCTGTTTTGTTTTTCCTTGTTAAAGTTCTCTATCCGTTCACTTGTGTGTCCCCTCCCTCACCCTCCCCCTCCCTCCCCCTCCTCCCTCAGGCCCTCGCAGCCCTCAGTCCTATGGTTTTTCTCTGGAGATCACCTCCTCTCGCGGCTTGGCTCCGCCGAAGATGGCAGAGTTTGGGTTGGCGACCTGGTTGAGCGGCTCAGAGACGGTTCGGGGCTTCAGCTGCAGCCGAGGCCGCTGTGCACGCTCCTCTGTGAGACAACAAACAAACCAAGAAAAGATCAAAAACCCTGATCACCTGTTCACACATCTTCACTTTCACTTCTTGTACTTTTCATGGTCTCACCTGTCAAAGTAACCAGTAACACTCGATAATGAGAAACTAAATAACTTCCTCAACAGTTATATCACTGAAGTAAAAACCGCAAAACCGAATCAGTCATTTAACAAAGACCTGAATACAGAGAAATGTAAATTGTAAGGAAAATGTAAATGTAAGGATAACAACACTAAGGAAATTAAGAACTAAATGATTAACTACCTAAGCCCATTAAGGCTAACTAAGTAAAAATTCCACAACTAAATAAATTTAAAAAGCAGACTGTTAAATCACTTGATAAAAATAAAAATTTAAGATAAATGATAAAAACAATATTTTAAAATGTACACAGTGAATTAAATAAATTACAAATTACACAAAGTAACAAATCTAAGAATTTCACAAATTTCAAGAACAATCTAAGCAACTAATTCAGGTATCAAACTGATTTAAAAATGATACAAGTGAAAAACTCATTTAAGTGACAAAGTTAAAAATCAATAATTACAAATAAGACTGAACAACAAAACTTAAGAATTGCAACTAATAAAATGAAAAACACC